CCCTTTTCTTGGTCTCTTAACTCAAAGTCATAGAGAACTACTTTCCTAATATCAGAGCATACATTCGGAAATAAATGATAGGAATCTCTAGATTTCTCCTTCAGCAGTCTATGGTATAAGGCCTCGGGCATACCCCAGGCGATTTCAGTCGCCACGCGATCTGGAAATCTGCCAGATCTCTTTGAATCCAACTCCGGCAGACTACAAATTCATAACATCTAAGACTTCCGCAGATCAATAAAATGCCCTATCATCTGTCCATTCAAAATAAGCTTACGATGAGTTTTGCTTGAAGTATTGGAAAATCGCGTCGCGACTGAAATCGCGTAAGGTATGCCCGATGCTTAAACTGGGTCTGAAGAGCGCCAATGCTGAAATTCTATTCAAAACTGAACATGTCGTTGAAAGACGACATACCGCCAACAGTGCCATCGAAAGTTTTATGCCATCCTGCCCATCGGACGCGATCACCTTCTTCCAGAATTCGAACAAGAAGAGGAGCATAACCGCTATAAGCATAGGCAAAGTCGGACGTGTTCTGGAGATGATTTACAATTCAGAAAGAAGACTATGCTGTGATTTCTACTCTCACCGTTTCAGAAACATTTTCGGCTAGAAGACTGTACTGCTTCTTCATATGTGAGAACATCACTGGAACGTAGTCAGCATTCAGTTTACCACTGCCACCTCGTTCTCGGACCACACCCATTTTTTGCAGTTTTAGGAGTTTGTTCAACGCTTCAACTCCAAATGACTGCAAGAAAACTTGTGTTTGGTAAAAAGGCTAAACTTGGTCGGAAAAGCGTTTTTGAGAAAAAATGTCATATTGTAGGCGTTCACACGCACAGAGAGGGCTTACTGCAGGCGCTGTCGGCGCCTCCGTTACACTGCGCTCTTTCATTCTTACCGTCTGCGTTCTCTTTCATGCTCAAACTATCTCAGCCGGACGCAACTTCGTCCAGTCTCTGCGTGCGATGAACAGTCTGAGGAACACCACTCCAAGCGCCAAGAAGCTATTTTTAGCAGTTTTTTTGAGTTTGTCGCGAAAAAAACATCGCTGATGTCTCACCTGCATAATCATCCTCCTGTACTGGTGTAAAGTAGCCGGTTTGAGACCATTCGCAGCCAGTGCGTGTATAGCAATTAAGCGAAGAGCGGCATTCACATCATCTCCGGTGACTATAGTGTCTTCGATAAACGGATGGATTTTATCACTGCTTGCCGATTCAAGGAGCTCTGAAAGAGACCAAAAATGAGCCAGTTCTGCAGATAATTCAACATACCTTTCAATGAAGAGGAAAAAGTCCACATAAAAGATCTGACACTTACAAGTGATCATCAACAAAGTGCGTAAGCAACGCACTTTGCTGTACACATATGCAAAATGCTGTGTACTAGAAGGTCATAGATTACCTACGCAAAAGTACAGAGAGGTCGCTGCACTTTTCGAACACACACACTCCTGCGAATTCGTCATCATGCTGCATGAAATGC